TACATTATCCTTCCAAATTCCACAACATACGGAAGAGCTTTTATTACCATTACCACCACTATATTGATGATTTCCGCAAATGAACTAAAACGAACTATTTTACATGTTAAGCTGTACTATCATCCGAAATACCGACTATTCCTATTCGTAATCCTTGGCCATATTCGAATATTCAAAAGTTTTTAGACAAAGTATTTGAATTACATTCGAATTTTCGAGCATTCGTAGTACTTTGATAGAAAGTCTTGAATCACAAAAATTTCATATAATGAAACGTTTATTTATGATAACGACATTTTTTATAAAATTAATATTAATTTCACAATCTAAATCAGTGTTAGTGTTATTATTATTATGCAACGGAATTCGGAATCTGGAATCATGTATTCCATTGTTCCATTTCATTGATGCAAGGTCACACTGGAATTCGAAGAATTCAGCCAATGAAATTTAAAACAATATAAATATAGAAACATGTAAATAAAATATATACATAAAAAAGAAAATTCTTGTCTATTATTCTAAATCTTTTTGATCTATTTTGCGATTCTTTTTTTCACAGTGTTTGGAATCCTTAAATCCTGAGCTTCTGTTTTAGCATACTGAATCCTATTGTTGACACCATTTACATATTTCAAGACAATTTATCCTTATATTTTTATCAGTATAAACAAATTCATGGAATGCATGATTTGATTTCCCACCAAGATTAATTGATATTTTTTCAAAACAAATATTCAAAATAAAAAGTTAGTAACACCGGAATAATCATTGGAACACTGGAACATGAAAATTCCAGTGTTCCAATGATTATTCCAGTGTTCGCATAATAATAATACCCTTGTTCATGTTCCAGTGTTCAATATTCCAGTTATTTGTCATTTTAACATCACTTGTCACAATGATTCAATAGTAACAAAGGCAATAATTTTCCCTATAATTTAAAAGGTATGACAAAATATTACACGGCGAAATGTATTTTATCGTCAAAGGCACATTAATGAAAAAACATTTCAATTATTTATTTAAACTCTTTTATATATATATACATATACACAAAAATATTTATACCGTCAAAGACTGTTACAACTCCTCATCTAAAAGAAAAATAGAAGAAAACGAAAGGAAGAACCTGACACCATAAACATTGGAAAACACAAACTACAAGAGAGTGCAATAATGATTATAATTATTAAAGATATTAATTAATTTTTCAACTGATTCAGCTTTAGCAATATAAAAATTTTTGACATAATTAACAGTGTCAATTTTTAACCTAATTTTTTAAAAAACGTCATCTAGAAGGGAATTTATCAGGAACTTCCTATATTTTTTGTGCCAAAATAATGTGTTAATTTATAGTTGAAAAAAAATTCATTGTTTTTGTACCATTTTTTTGTAACATGTTTGATATAATTATAATTTAATTCTTCTTTATGGTTGACATCACAGCCAAAATTTAACGATTTCTTTGATGGTTCTATAATAAATATGAATCCTATTCAAGGATTCCAATTCCTGCTATAATTTATCACGCGGCATTCTTTATAAATCACAAAATATATTAGTTGATGGTTATTAATAAGTTAATTACGAATATATTTTTTTAAAAGTAACAACTTATACAACTTATACAACTTACAAAACCCGTAACAAATTATTAAAGAAATTTGTTTTGTTGTTTCTGTTGTTGTATCTTAATCCATTGGCTAATGCCAATTCAATTATCGTTCATTTTGTCCTTTTGGTTGAGGTTTTATTCTTTTAAATTACTTGTTTTTTATCTGTATACATGTATACAATAATGATGATGATAACACAACAACAAGTGAGAGATTGAGATCAACATAACAAAATTGCGTATCCATCTAGAAATTAATTTAAATTATATAATATGCTACAACGGATTCACGTGATATACAAGGTTATAATTTCCCAATTTCCCAGATTTTACCACATTACTGAAATAATATAAATAGAATTTCCATATTTCCAAATAATGATTTTACACGAATAATTCTCTGGTATTATTCCTTTAGATTATGAAGAACAAATTGGAGATCAACGCAAATATAAACGATCAAAGAGATGATGACCTTGATAATTTAATTGACAGATTAAATTTCAGTTCAGCATTAACAACAGAAGAATATATATCAATTGGTGATGATTAGATTAATGAAATGCCAACCAGGGAGGAAATTCTTGGTTCTTTTGAGCAAATTGAAGAGGAAGATGTTATTGTAAGTAGTACGTACAACTATTTCTAATATGAAACTGTAAAAGCTTTTGAAACTGCTTTTAATTTTCCTGAACAAAATAATATGAATTAAAAGCTTTAAAATCATTGAAAAAGAAAATAGAATCATATAGTATTCAAAATTCAATACAAATAAACATTACCAGTTTTTTCAGACGCTTGATTTTTGTAAATTTTACGGATTTAGGTTGTCCAGTCACTTATTATTATGCTTAGACCCGTTGAAACGAGGTTTGACGGTATAAAAATATAAAGCAAAATTGACATTGAGAGCCAAATTACTTTCGATTTTATTAATAACTTGTTTTAAATTTTTTTTCAAGTAAATATATATTATATTTTAAATTTGGTGACGATTGCTATGTAAATTCAAATGTTATAACCTGTATATAGACGGGTTTGATGGAAGAAAGTGTTAGACAAGATGAACGAAGCCTTCAAAGCAAGCTTTGTAAATATACCGATGAACGTTTATCAATTATTCAATAAGTTATATGTGTTGGTTTGATGGAAACAAGTGTTAGACAAGATGAATGAAGCTTGCAAAGCAAGTTTTATAAAATATACTGATGAGCGTTTAGCAATTATTCAGTAGTTGTATATAAGTATTTCAAAATTCAAAAAAAAAACGTAAATACTCTTTACCTATATCTTATATCTCATTAAACATTTAACCGAATTGGTTCAAAGAAAGTCTGAATTTTATTGTAAATCATATTCAAAAATTATTTATAGTTAATATGTAGTGATATTATTTTATTAATGGTTTTAAATCACAATTCGTTGACGCTTTTAATAATAATATTAAATGTCTTTTTACATTCCTCTTCTCCTTTTTTGACAACTATATATTATTGTTTATATTATTTGGTCATTATAATCATTACTACTTAGGTATACAGGAATAAATGTAAAAGAAAGACCTATTTATTTATTGTGTTTATTTTTAAAATAAATGATTTTACTATAAAGGACATACTTAAAGCGAACGAAAACTATGAAAATATTCACAATAATTACAATAATTACATTATTTGGACATTTATTTCTGCAATTAGACGCGCTAAACAAATTTCTACATATGAGAGTATAAATGCAAAATTCGATTTTGAGACTGGATTATTTTCGGTTTTATTAACAACTTGCTTTAAAATTTCTTAAAGAAGATATTTATAAATAAGTTATATCTCAAATTTGGAAGTTATTGTTACACAACAAGGGCATTAAACAAAGATAAATTTCCAGATATACACAAAAGGATAATTATAATAATAATAATAATCTATTCTAAGGGGATAGATAAGGAAAGTTACAATATATCCTTATTATTTTGTCAAAATAATAAACAATAGAGGTGTATATATATGTTATTAGTATATCATTTCCACATATATATATATATGCCCATATAATAAATACTTTAAATGCCACCCAATTCCTGGGAAGGGAAACTATGCCCTATTACTATTTTTTATTTCCTGTTACTATTCCTATTCCTATTTAATTTATTTATAAACTGGGGATAATTTCACCTTATGCGGACAATATATTTTTAGGATCATCCCTTTACTCCGGAGATAGAAAAATTAAAATGAGGAGTTTCTGTTATCGTCATTGTTTACAAACCCGTATGTGGTAGCAGTTTCTAAAATAATAAATTCATAAATAACCGTAGTAGAATCAAGAGCGTTAACGACCGAATCGGGTTATCACCATATGGCAAGTAAGTAGTGGTATATAAATAGAAATGACGACATTGGACCCCGGAAATGATTCGCTAATCTTAATATAATTACAGTTGTGTAACGTTGATACTTCTTTACGAAAAACGGAAAAGAAAAGAAATATAGTCTTTTTAACAAAATACAATTACTAAAATAAAAAAGTAATTCTTCGACAAAGAGTAGAAAATTTCTATTATCGAGGGTCATCATTATATGATTATGAAGAAAATGCAACAGCGTGTAATCATTTAATTAATTGATTGTTTTACATTAATATTGATATTCAATGATGCCATATTGTATCTTTAGTATTAGTATTAGTAGCAATAGGTGGTTGTGATTGTGGTGATGATAATAAATATGATAATGATGGTAGTAACAACAGTTGGCACAATTCACAATTGGTTTTATTACGTATAATAATAAATATGAAGAAGTGGCCACTACTACTACGCTTATTACTTACTATTATACTAGCCTGTATATATATATAAAAGCATGGTTTTTTACATAATGTGTGTGATACATACTAACGAATTTATTATATATAGCATAAATGCCCTTAATTCTAATTTTAAAAAAAATAAAATAATAAACAATCAACCTCGTGATCAGCATAAGGAGAATTCTTTTTTTTGTACAAAAAAAAAACTATAAAAATCATTGATTGTTCCATCATTCTTTTTAAAAAAAAGTGTCTTCATTTAAAAAATTTAAATAATTATTCCAAGGTTTTTTTTTTTAATTAAAAAAAAAAATCGTATGTATTTATTTCAATAATATCGGACGAATATTATTTTTGAAAAAAAAATAAAAAAAAAAAATGACTATTTTTGTTCCAACGACGAAAAATTTTCAGTCAATTCATCAAAATCGTAGGTTTTTAATTTCAAATTGAAATAATTATTCACTGTTATTCGTTACAAAAATTAAAAATTTATACAATTCATATTAAATGCATTTATTAATCAGAATAAAAATAACAATTATTATATAAACCATCAGCTTGTAATAGAATGGAATCAATCGAAATAACTGCAAATAATAACAGCGCGACTACGACAACTATGGAGGGAATTGTAACTACAATTCCAGAGAAAACGTTTATCGACTCCACAGGAACAGAAACCTTAACGAAAAATCACAATAGGCAAGAAAATGGCAATAACCAAAATGATAAAGGTCATCAATCAAATCTTGGCGATGCTAGCGATAACCAGGGAAAAAATATTTTGGCGGAAAGCCTTGTCGGTAAGTAAATAGTTGATAATATTAAAAATATTTTGATTATATTGCACTGTTGTTTTATGTATTGTTTATTATTTTATATTTATATAGATGCTTTTTTTTTCATATTTGGTGTGTATTAGAAACAACTATCTTAATAACCAATGTGATTTGGTGCAATTTTCCTTTACTTCCAAACGTTCAAGTAATTCCACTTCGCCTATACATCCAAGAAACATTGAAAAGGTCAAGAACTTCTTTATCGACTTTGCAAACAGCTCTGCTCTACCTTTTAAGAATAAAACCGAAGATTGGATCCATTTACTTAAACTTGAGTTCAACCTCCAACTCAAACTTGAACTCGAGCTCAAACTTGAACTCGAGCTCAAACTCGAACTCGAATCCAAATATTATAAATATAGATTCTGCAACATGTGGTCGAAGAATGTTTCTAGCATCATTGATTGTTGCGTCAAAATATTTACAGGACAATAATTATTCAAATAATGCTTGGTCGAAGATTAGTGGATTATCACTTAAAGAAATTAATTCGATAGAACGAAGATTTTTACAATTGATTGTTTACAACCTTTATGTTTCAGAAGAAGTGTTTAACAATTGGACAAATTTGTTGGATTCTCATATAAAAACAATATTGAATAATAATGATAGTCCTAATGATAACAATAACAATAACAATAACAATAACAATAATAAAGGTAACAACGATAACAATAATAACATTGATAACAAAAGTAATTATAGTAATGATGGTAATGTTAATAGTAATTTTAGTAATAATAATATTAATAATAATAATACTGGTAATAGAGGAAATCAAACAGCCGATAATCACAAACGAAACTTTTTCATGATAAATTCTTCCACAACCACAATCTCTTCTAAAGAATGCGAGGTTAAAGGCTAAACTTATTGTGACAGAATATAAAAACTTTAATAAATAAAGAAAGCAAGTTCATTTTTTTATTGAATATCAATCTAATATTAAAATGAATAAATCATTTATATGAATTTCCAAATTTGTAAATAATTCTCTTTCATAAATAAAGTAATAATTAATTGGTTGTTTTTTTTATTAATCAATTTACAAAGAAGGAAATTTATAAATCTCAAATGATTGATTTCTTTCAAACAATACAGGTCATAATTAATAAAAAATAAAAAAAAAATTTTCAAAAATAATTTCTTTTTTTTTAAAAAAATTAATTTCTCAAAGAAATTTTAAAACAATTAATCAATCAAACAACAACCAAAAAAATGTGCTTTGTAAGTATTTCTTTCTTTCTTGTTCTTGATTTAAATTTCGTTCACTAATGATTATGTTTTATAGCGTGTAACTTGTCGAAAGTGTAACAAATATACATGGTCTGGATGTGGCAGACATGTTGATTCTGGTATATTAAAATTGATGATATTATTATTATTATTATTTATTTACTCTGTTTTTCAATTGTTTTAAAAGAATGTTATCCCAAAAAATATTTTGTTTCTTTCTAAAATAAAAAGTCATGAAAGATATTCCGAAAGAAGAAAGATGCACTTGTAACGAAATAAAAGTACCAGAGACGGGGACAAAGACAGAAACAAAGGCGAAACAGGTATATAATAATAATAATATTAATAAATAATTAGTATTATTATTTCTTAATGTTGTCATGATGACATTTTATTTATTTATCTTTATTCTTCTCACCCGTATACATTATTAGTAAATCACTATTGGTGGCTACAAATGACATGCTAAATTTTACATATAATAATCCCCAAATTCTAATTTTTTTTTTGTAATATTTATTATTTATTATATTACGTGATTAGTTTGTCCGGGGGATAGTTATAATTAGTGTAGTTTAAATAAGTAAAAACGTGAGATGTTGTTATTGTATTACTATTATTTTACCATTTTGCCTATCAAAATATTTTTATAAATTGAGTTAAAAAAAAAATAGTGTTGTGTGTATATTATATAAAAAGAAAATGTCGACAAAATTGCTTTCAGTTTTTTCTCGAGATATTTTTAATCTTTTGGAAAATTTAGAAGAATTTAATGTTACAATACATGTTGGTGAACAACCTAATGTTAGAACATTTCATGCGCATTCTCTTATCCTAAAAGCTCGTTCCTCTTATTTCAATACTGCTCTATCTAAACAATGGGCAAAACAAAAAGATGAAAAAAATATATTAAATCAACCAAATATATCTCCTGAAATCTTTGAAATCATATTAAGGTATTTACAACTATAAAGTTACACGCACACATATATATTTGATAAATTCTTGAGTGATATTAATATATAATATATAATAGTTATATTTATTCAGGTAAAATTTCATTACAGGAAAGAACTATAACAGAAATTTTAGAAATTTTATCTGCAGGCGATGAATTATTATTAAATGATTTGTTAGACTATATCCAAGATTACTTGGTTGATACAAAAGCAGATTGGCTACCAAATTACATACTAGAAATTTACAGAAAAACATTAGATCATCAATCGTGTGAAAAATTGAGAGAATTCATATTAGCAACCATATCAGCAGATCCTGAATTATTATTCAACTCTAAAGATTTTTTGAAAATCGAAGAATCTTTATTGCTACCAATACTTAAACGTGATGATCTTGATATGGCTGAAGATGAGGTCTGGGACCAAATTGTGAATTGGGGAATAGCTCAAGATCTCGATCTTCATCCGGCCATCAAAGAATGGGATTATGACGATTTCAATAAATTGAAAACTATATTAGATAAATGTATTCCATTGATAAGGTTTTTTCAAATGTCCTCGAGTGATTTGTATGACAAAGTATGGTCTCCATTCAGATTAATCTTGCCCCCTAATCTAGAGGATGATATTGTCAGGTGTCATTTGAAACAAGGTAGTAAACCAATATATGGCATCAACACTCCAAGAGGAAATTCCACTTTAATTGGTCATAAAGAAATGTTACGTATTGCGTGTTGGATTGACAAAAATGATACACCGATCAGCAATAACAGTCATATTAATATCAATGGTAATGGCAATAGCAATAGTAATAGTAGTGCAATAAATATTTCTTCCTCTTTATTATCTTCGACTCCAATATCATCAACGTCAACGAATAATAACAACGTTAACACGAATAATAGTTCGTCATCTGCCAGTAATATTCCCGCCACAACGAACGAGATGCCTTATAAATTTAAATTGTTGGTTAGAGGTACGAGGGATGGATTTGATTCCAAAACTTTTCATCAGAAATGTGATAATCAAGGTCCAACCTTTGTCATAATGAAGATCTCTTCAACCAATGAAGTAATAGGTGGTTATAATCCAATCAAATGGCAAACTGGTAGTGGTCATTTAGAAACAAGAGACAGTTTCTTGTTTACGTTTGGTAATAGAGATAGAATTGAAGACGCAAAAGTTTCAAGAGTATCAAGGTTTAATTATGCAATAACGCTTAAAGATGATTCCTATGGTCCCTGTTTTGGCGATAAAGATTTATGGATGTATGGTAATTTTGACAAACCGGAAAGTTGTTCATCAAAGGAAGATGATTATGAAACTTGGATAACTAAAAGTCGTAAATTTGGTGTTTCAGAATACGAAGTTTTTAAAATTATTAAAAAATAATTATTTATTGATGCTATCTATTTATATTATTATATTATATTATACATTATTACTATTTATAAAGTGTTTATTAATTTATGTAATTGTTAATATTGTGTAGTTATTAATATATATTATTGTAAATTATTCTGTATCACGAACAAATTCTTGAAAATTTAATTGTTTATTATTATATCTCAAATATTTTTCAATTAAACCTCTCTCACTTGCCCCAGGATTTGATCTTGACCAGCTACTAATGTAAAATGTATCTAAATCAACATTACAATTCCTTAATACTGATTCAAGAATAACAGCATCTCTTTTCCCCCATTCCATATCTAAGCTAATATTTCGCAATCTTGGAGGCAAAATATTGAATAGCTGTGGCATAAAATCACTAAACTCTCGAGTATACTTGTATGATCCGAACAATTTCAAGCTGATTAGATTTTCAGAATTATTATTTAAAAAATTAATTAACAATCTTTTCGTGTTGGGATCGTGTTTATAAGGAATGGAAATGCGAGTTAGAGTATTTTTGTATTTTGAACATAACGTTTTATACAACCGTTCGTCGACGACAATGTCTCTTCTTATCTGATCGTCGACATAGTAAATATCTTTTAATGTTTTGGAATTTGAATTTAATAAATCCATAAATATTTCAAATAGGCCTCGGGAAGAATTTTTTATATGCAGTTTTGTTAATTTGGAAAGGTTTCTTAGAGGTTGTATAATTCCCTCATCCAAAAATTCACAATGATCCAAGATCAATATTTCCAAATTACTACATTTTGACAAATGATTGAATTCCGAGGTGATTGTGGTGAATTTTGCATAAATTAATTCAAAACTTTTTAAAGTTTTGAATGAACATTTTAATGCAGAAATTTGGTCCGTTAGTGATGTACCATACGAAAATATTTTTAAATATTCCAGATTTTTTTGTTTTTTAATTAATTCACTAATCGACCCTTCACGATTAAATGAATTAAATGTGTTATCGATCAATTCTAGTCTTCGTAGATTAGTCGAATGTTTGGCCAGATCCATTAACAAGTCACCCTTTTTTGGAACGTAACTGATCGATAATTCTTTTAATTGTGATAGGAAAATTGCCGAATTTTTGCAGTGTAGAAACTTTAATTTTTCTCTAGATTTTCTTCTCGGATAATTCCAGTCCAATTTAATAGATTTAAATTTTTTACTTTTAACCAAGATCATCCTACATATTGTACGAATTATCAATTTTGTGTGTCTATGACAGACGATTATTGACCTACAATAATGAATGGTATTATTATTATGATCGTCGACATTATCATCAAAATAACAAATAATTGTATAAATAATTACAATTTACTTGTCTGAGTTTTCTCAATCCAATTCTCGACCGATAAATGTAAATTTTTCATATTCAAATCTTCCAAATGTTTCGGATAATCCAGAAAAGCAAAAGTCATCGGCCTATTATTATTGTCCGGTAATTTAACGTAATATCTTGATAAATTTGAAGTTTCGTGCTTTGATAAACACTTCAAATAGGAGGCAATAACCGTCGAGCTGACCATATTATTGCTAAAAGGCGCCTTCCACAATATCGGAACAACCAGCTCGCAACAGTGTTTATTAAGTAAAAGGCATGAATGTAATGTTTTAATGTCATTTGATAAGTGCTTGAATACTAAAGCTAAGCAGTCGTATATTAAGGGGACTTTTGGTCTCTCATCATCAGGAGGCAATGGATTGTCATCGTTTCTTTGAATGTTAATGTTTTTCTTTTTGAAAAAAAAAAAAAAGATTCTTTTATACATCAGAAATGATGATAATTTATTATTTGAAAATTAAAATTTATTATTTGAAAAATTAAAATTTAGTGTATTTTAATGAATACATCATAAAACTTTTTAATAAAATATTTCTGGGGTGTATATATTTATAATAAATGCTTCCTTGTTGAATGAATTTAGAATATAATGAAGGAGATTTGTTAGTTTGAGGTTTTTCATTTATTTGTTACGGAATACGGATTCCGAAAACTTTTTTTGATTGTTAAATATTATGTAAATTATTATGCAATACTTGTTAATTTTTAATTCGAAATTAATATTAAAATTATTGCGGAAGAACGATACCGAAACAATTAAATATTTATTTTCTTGGTTGTTTTCTCGTCACATTCGTCATAATATTATTAATTTACTTTGATAATGAACAATAATGATAATGCACAATGATAAAGCTCAATTTTCAATTTTGTTTTTGTCATTATTCTCAATCCTTTTTAGATTACCAATCTAAGCCAAATATGGGAATGCATTGTTTAAATATAGATAAATTTTTACCTATATAATAATAATAAATTTGCTAGGAACTAATTCAATCTTGTTGGAATTGATATATATATTACTAATGTTGGGAAATGTTTGGTGGTGCGATTGTAAAATATAGGTGTTGGATAATTAATCTAACCCTAAACTTGAGTAGTAACGGTAGAGTTGTCCAGCTATGGTTATAATATTTATACACAATAATAATATCGCAAGGAACTGTTAACAGCTGGATGATGGCATTATTTATTATTTTTGTTAACATTTAATTAATCCTTTATAAAATCAATTTTCTTTTAACATCTAATTGTTGTTGTTATTATGAATTTTATTTTAGCCCAGCCTGTTTGTAGATTCCGTTATACCAGTTAATTAACGGAGAAAAAATATGAGTCAACTTGTAAATTAAAGTTTCATCACCAAAATTGTAGATTTTCAATTTGCGGTAGTCTTTATCGTGATTGGTAGTAGACTAAGAAAATCCGGAAAAGTTTGCAGGCATCATGGGATAGCAGAAAAATCAAGAGATCCGGAAAAATATTATAATGAATGAAGTAAAAAAGATATATACTATAATTTGTTCACTCATAGGGAAAGTTTATGAAAGCAACCAAATGCTTATTGTCTAATCTTAGCTAGTAGCATTATTAATAGGACGGTAATGGTATGAAGATCAATATCTGAATATCTAGAGAATTTTTAGTCCTTCCAAGATCAGTTTTAGCAACTTGTTTTATTAGGATCAACATTTCATTACTTCTTTCTGGTGTGGCTTTTCTGCCTCATATGAGACTGTCTCCAGCAAAAATCACCTCCGAGGTCTTTTGGCCAAACTTGTGGTTTTTATCCTATAACATATAGATTGTAATTGGTAAGGATATTATTATTTGCATAATAATAATAATAGTACGGAAAGAATGTATGGAATCTTCCTGTTAAATGCGCCAAAAAATACGGGATAGGTACGGAATGCATGCTAATACTAATACTAATACGAAACACACATGGGATTTACCATTACGGAAAGCATACGAATCCGTTTTTCTGTACGTTTTCCGCACGAATTTCATATTAGCGCATCACGTATTCATACGGGATACATACGAGAAAAACGAATTCTATCTTGGTATTCCGTAAATCCTGTGTGTGTTTCGTATGAATATTTAGCATTCTATCTCGTACGAACCCCGTGCATTTAATAAATATAAAAAAACGATTGATTTTTTAGAAAAAGGTTGTGATTATGGTTGCTCTTCAAGAATTCCCCAAGGAAGAATTTGCAAGAATTATATGAATTCGTTCATTATTATAACAAGTTTACAAATGAGGAAGCAAAGTGAGCTATCGAGATTTTATTTATGCTTCCAAATTCAGCAGTCAGAATTTATTCTTTACCACAACTTTCGTTATTATTGGCGCGCACTAAATATATTTAGTCTTTGATGGAATCAAGAAATTGAATAAAGGTGCGTGCTGTAACCATTTGTATTTAATGATTTGCAATTATTATAAGTGTTTAATTAAATTTCATGATTCCAGGGCATATCAAATTCTAATAGCTTTGGATTGATCAAAGAAATTATATCGAAGGATGTCGTAAAAAAGAAATCCCTCATTACTTACAAGTAAATAATGTTTCAAAACCTTGAATTGTTTAATTTTATTATTATTTAAAAATTACAAAAAATCAAAAAATACAAACAATCAATCTTGTTATAATTACAATTACAAATCATTAATTAACTCTATGAATTATTTTTCACCAAGAGAAACCTCCCGTTATTAATACTACTATTTAATTAAGCAATAATTAAATAAAGCATTGTCACAGAAATAACAAATAATGATGTAGCAATGCTGTATAAATTATAAATTGAGAGTTCCAGATCAAGATGTCCAGCTGAAACAGAATTACTTTCTTGAATTTCCTCTACAGTTGCTGAGGTAACTTTCTTGACCACCACAACAGTACTTGGTGGAATGTAAGTTGCATATGTTGTTAATTGTCCATTGTCCCCTGTTGAAGATGTATAAGTGGTGTATCCTGGGAAATATAATGTTGAAGTGGTGGTGTATGTTTTGAATTGTGTTATGGTTGATTTTTTTTGGCTTGAGCCTAATTGGGTTTGGGATGTTGTGGTTTTTGTAGGTTTTGGTGGATCTGTGATTATTTCATTCTCTTCTGTTGTGCTGACCACTGTTGGGCTATTTTTTTTTTTTTTTGCAATAAATTTAATTAATTTGTTGGAAAATAATGAATTTTTCTTTTAAAAACAAAAATCACTCACTCTGTTGTTTTACGTTCACATCTTGGATCATCAGCTTTTGTACATGGTTCTTGTCCAGGTGGATATGACTTAGTAGTAGAGTCTAATTAATTTCATATAAATTAATTATATTAATTATATAAATATAAGTATATTGATTAATTATATAAATAAAAATAAAAATAATTAATTGTATGAAAGAATTACTTGGTAGATCAGTAGGTGTTCCAGAGTCTATTTAGTAAAAAGAAAAAGAAAAAGAATTAATAAATTTTAATAAATGAAATTTATTTTCATCAATAACTATTATTATCTCCTTTTTGAACACGCACACACACACATATATATATATATGACCCTCTTTTGAATATACCAGTGGTATTTGGATAAACATTAATCCCAGTTGAGCTAGTTGAACTTAAGTTATCAGTAGCAACTGTAGTAACAACTGGACTATCACTAGACTATTTGTATTGCTAGTAAGAGTTAAGCTATTTGTATCTGTTAAACTATCTACTTTTGTATTTGTATCTATTGGATTTTGTGTATTAGGTCCATCACTACTAAATGTATTAGCAGCTGGTGTGTCAGAAGGAGTAACTAATAACTATATATTTATGATAAGATCATATTTATATTTTAAAAAAAACTATCTATCCATCTAGATATACAACTATCAATATATTCTATTTATATATGCGTGTCCTTCCTTTCAACAAAAAAAGACTTACCAGAAGATGAATTATTTGGATCAGGGGTTGGTGCATTTGGATCAGGCTTTGGTGGATCAGATTTTGGTGCATTTGGATCAGAGGTTGGTGCATTTGGATCAGAGGTTGGTGCATTTGGATCAGAGGTTGGTGCATTTGGATCAGGCTTTGGTGCATTTGGATCAGGCTTTGGTGCATTTGGATCAGGGGTTGGTGCATTTGGATCAGGATTTGGTGCATTTGGATCAGGCTTTGGTGCATTTGGATCAGGATTTGGTGCATTTGGATCGGGTTTTGGTGCATTTGGATCAGGATTTGGTGCATTTGGATCAGGCTTTGGTGCATTTGGATCAGGCTTTGGTGCATTTGGATCAGGCTTTGGTGCATTTGGATCAGGATTTGGTGCATTTGGATCAGGCTTTGGTGCATTTGGATCAGGCTTTGGTGCATTTGGATCAGGCTTTGGTGCATTTGG